TTCTGTTCCTTCAAGGGAGACCTTCTGCTGCAGACCTCAGATGCAGCATATCAATTTTAGATCGTACCACACTGGCTACATATTTTAGAAAGCTGTCATGTTTCATCAGATATGGAGCAAAAGGCATCTCAGTAAACAAAAAAAGTCTCAAAATACTCACCACAAGAGTAAACTACCTCGGTGATTCAGTGAATGGCATTTTTCAAGATGAGTTTTAACTTTTAGTGCTTCAATTTTAGGGACACCCTAAAACACCCAAATCACACGGCTGCAATTGCCCCAAGTCCTGTTACCCCCTCTATTCCTTTACAGGATCCCTCGGGAAATTTAAAAGGAGCCGATGGGAAATTGTTTTCACACCGAGCTGGCAAAAATTCCATCTATTCCCAACACCATTAGGTCTAACTCCTGAAACTAGAGGAGAAGTCACTCCCCACGTCCCTCGCTCCCCTCTGCATAAAAGTAGCAAATTAACATTATTGATCTGACCAAATTCTAAGTTGGGCAATTACGTTTGGTCTCTTCACAGTCATCTGATCTCTCAACAGAAATAGTCCTCACATCACATCTGAAACTCTGAGGAATTTTTCTTACAGTTAAAATAGCTACTATGCACCAGCAGTGAGTTCCAGTGATCTCTTTAGCTGACTTAACAACTCACAGGAGTCTTGTGTGACCTAATTAACAAAAGCTTACAGGGAACTTGCAGATCCTTTATTTAGAAGTAGTATAAAAATAATAAATCTTATCAACACATACAGGGTAAGAGAGGAAGTTAACAACCTTACTGGTGTTATTCTGCTGCCTCAACAGAAGTCAATACACTGGTCTGGGGAACTACACGAGAGTTGAGCACACACATTTCACTGTAACAGATGCAATTTTGCATCTTTATCCACCTCTGTGCCTACACCAAGTGTCCCCAAGGTTTGTTCTTGCTTTTCTGCTCTCTCTTCTGTGTCCCTCTGGAGCAGCACAAGAACAGGCTCAGCTGCTTACAGTGCTACACCAGTAATCTTTCTTTTCTTTCCTTTCCTCCTCCACTCCAAATTAAGTACAGCATTGGGGAAGGGAATCACGGGCATCCTTTGCTTGTTGCCTTTGCACTGGGAAACAATCAGCAGAACCTTCTTTTCCATTTCTTAGGCTTCCCACAAAGTGACACAGTTCCCTTGTCTAAATTAATCTAAAGAACAATAGAGAGCATTAGAGGCAGGCACAACAATTACAGGGGACGCTGGGTCTGTGCAGTCACTGACAGCACACAAACACGGGGTAAGTGTGGACACACACACATCTGGTCAGCTCTGCTGATCACAACTCCACCCACAGCCCGAGCAGCCCAGTGTAATGTGGGCACATAGCACAGATTTTGAACACTCAGATCCTGTCAACTCCCTCCTCACCATCTGCCATGGACAAGTGCAAGTGGGGAAGCCAAACCCAGTGGGTTAAATAGAACAGTGGCCTTTTTTTGACAGAAAGGAGTTATTAATCTCATTGTTCCAGTGCTCTCTTAGCAGCCTGGACACAGGCAGATCAGAACTGCTCTTCATTTTCCAGTGTCACGACACTGTACCTGCACACAGACTATGTATTCAAATGTGGGGAAAATGTGCTTTTTCCTAGAATCACAAACAGCCTGGGTTGGAAGGGACCTCTAGAGCTCATCTAGTCCAACCCCCCTGCCATGGGCAGGGACACCTTCCACTAGACCTGTCTGCTCCAAGCCCCATCCAACCTGGCCTGGGACACTCCCAGGGATGGGGTAGCCACAGCTGCTCTGGGCAACCTGTGCCAGGGCCCCACCAATTTAAGTGTAGAAGTTTTCTTCCTTATATCTAGTCTGAATCTCCTCTCTTTTACAGTTTAAACCCATAACCCCTTATCCTATTGCTTCAGGCACTCCTAAGAAGCCTGTCCCCAGAACCACAGAAGTCATATCATCTTTACTCCTTTAAAAATATTAAATATTTAAGTTCTATTTCTGATTGCTCAATTGGAAAAAAACTAAAATATTATTTTTAGGTAGGCCTAGAATTTCGCATTAGAAAAAACACCCAACATAAATAACGAATTCTGGTATCTTCCATATCAGTATTGTTTGTATCCCTTTCCAATTTGAGAAAAACCTCTGCCATTTTCAAACTACCTGTTGTTTTGTTACCATTTAAAGTGTTATATGATCAGCATGCAGCCACTCAGACCTTAATGTGACACTACAGTAAAGCAAAGAACACAATATACATCTTTCCATTTCAGATTCATTCCAGGCACAGCCCTTTCTCTAAGAACTCATTACAGACAAATGCCTTTTTCTCTCAGACCATCGTTCTGCTTTCACCTTGATAGCAAAAATTACAAGACTATCACAGCCCTCTGTGTAGTACAGTGAACTCAGGCTGATCTTTCTAATATCTGTTTCACAGACAGCTAAACTGCAATTGCTGCACAACTCCTATAACTCAAAGCCCTCCGAGCTTCCCCACGGTGCTAGGACAGACTCTCTGTGGACAGAAGGAAATGAGGAAGATTCCCAATATTTTACACCAACTAATTTTCTACAACCGTCTCAGAGCTTCCCTTCCCCCTTCCATTCCTCACTGTTCTCCTCCTCCCTCCCATTTTCTGTCAGCTGAGCTCCCTTATCTTGGAACAACACGGAATCCCTCTCCAGGCAGTGTTTACTCACTCCAGGCTTCCTGGCTGTGACATCCCAGCTCCTATTGTTTGATGAAAGACAAACACAAACCTTACAATGGAGCTCAGCAATACAACTAAGGCGACTGATTGGAATTTTTAATTGAAACAAGCTTGGGTCTTTCAAACCATAATCCAGGTAAGCAGCTCACCCAAAACCACGAGGTGAACATTTCAGCCTATTCAGAGATGGTGAGAGATGCTGCACACGCTGTCTGGCAGCACTGCTGGCACCCCTTACAGGTACTGGACCTACTGAAATCATCAGTGGAACAACCAGAGTTTGAACTTGCCCTACAATAAGGAACTTTTCAGCCCAGCTGATGAGGCACAGCAGCATGATAAATATCATTAATTACATTTCTCAGAAGATTCTCACTATGGCTTGAGAACAACAGAAATGTCTGCTGGTGCTGATCCAACAAGTATTTCCATTTAGTCCCTTAATATGTTTTAAGATATGGCCTTACAGCACAGCTTCCACCCTGAACACCAACTACACTGGAGCCTGATCCCAGCTCTGCCACAGCCACTCGTGCACCTTGGGGCATCTCCTCAGGCTTCCAGTTCCCAGCCCATACATGGGACAAATGTCTTTTACCCCCTTAACAAGGGGGCAGGTTGTTCTTGACATCAGAAAGGCTGTGCTGCTGTATCAGTGGCCTTGAGCAGGAGAAACCACTGAAGCTGATCAAACACTGACATTTGGTCCCAGGGAAGTTGTGGAATCTCCATTCACATGGAACTCAAACCTCACTGGTGCAGTCCTGCTACTCTGGTCTAAATGACCCTACTTGAGAAGGCAGTTGATGATCTCACAAAGTCCCACCCAATCTAAACAATTCTGTGATTATTTCTATATTAGAAAATTATAATTTTTTTTTTTAATTTTTGGGAGACAAAACCCACACCACAAAATAATGCATTTTCTACTGAGAAGCTCTGCCAATTTCTTCTTGTCATGGAGCAGATGTCTCCTTCCAAAGTTCTATGAGAACAGTAAATTCTTTCCCCTGTTATTTAAGAATGCAATAATGTTTTGTGCAGTGTTATAAGAAATATAATGAGCTAAACCAGAAAGCAGTCCCAGAAAGAAAAACCACTAAGTGGAAGTTTATAGTAAAGCTTTCTCTCTCCTTCCCCTCGAGGAACTAGAGTTAACAATAAAGAAGAAATGCATTAGTAGAAAGGAAGTGTAACTCATTTGTAGGTAAAATGATTCCCCTTTCTCCAATTCAATCCCACTGCCAGTATTATTGTTGTCATCTTCAGCTGACACTGGGGAGAGGGGGAAAATGTTACAGGAAGAAAACACTACTTGAAATGGAAAAAGGAGGAGTACTAGTGCAAAGGGTGGCATAACAATGTGTGTCGTGGCCTCCCTCCATTAGATCAGATGTCACCTGCCAAGGAAATGCCTTCAGGGACAGCGGAACTGGGAGCAACAAAAGCAAAACTGATTTCATAGGGGTTGATTGCTTTGTGAAGGCAGTACAGACCAGCTGGTTATGCTGGAGATACACCAGACCCATCCAACTGGATCTTTCCTGGTTTTAATTCCAAGATATCCAGCTCCTGTCACTTCAGGTTTACATGAGGAAATAAAGGTGCTGCAGATCTATGTAGAGGATTTCTCTAAGGTAAGGAGAGAAAGGAAATTCAGGCTTGTACCACCTACAGTTCTCGATCCTAATCCTACAGTTAGGGCTCGCAATTACTAAGCTAAAAAGAGAAAATAAAACCCAGGAAAAATAATATCTTCAAATGTGCAAGATTTTTATCTGCTGTTTCATGGGACTTGGCTATTAAAGTGTAAGACAAGAGCAAGGATGAAAGCAGGAGACATTATGTGTCAGCAAGTGAAAATTACATAAAATAGGTGAGTATAAAGCTCAATACACTTATCTTATTGTTTAATTTTAATATATGGAACAATTGTACAAAACCCCCCACAGCAAGTTCTTCCCCTTTCAGACTCTAGTCACTAAAACAAATACAAACTGTGCTGAATAATTCTTTGATGAGACTTAGAGAAGTACTCCATTATATTCTTTCTTACATATTTAATAACACTTTAAAATCAGGGGTTTTTTAAACAACAAAGCTTTCAGAATTTCAGAACCACTGAAATGTCCAAGGCAGCCCACGTGAATCTCCCGACTCACTAAATGAGCACAGGTGGCTGTGCAGTTTGCACACCCTCACTAGTACAGTGCACCCAGCCATTCCCACATTGATCCTGATTGTTCCCTGAGGGACTGAAAAGCATCTGAGAGGCACAGTAAGAGCACAGTTCTTACCACATAGAGCTGCTTCCAGAGCACGGCCCATTCCTGCAGCGTCGCTGTGACCTCAGTCACAACAGAATCTTCAAGTGGAACAACTGTTTCATATTGCCTGCAGAAAAAGAGGGGGCAAAATTAGGAAAGGGCAGAGAAAGAAATAAATGTCAGCACAGTAATTTGTAAAATGCTAGAACTCGAATTTGTTCAACACAGAGAAGAGTATCTTAGGAGGATCATTTTGTCTGTTGTAACACTGAGGCACTCCCAGGCTCATGTCAACTGCTCCTCCACTACATTCCACAAGAATAAGCTTGTGTGAAGCATTTCCTGGTTACTTGTTCAAAATACACAATTTCATCTTCATCAAGGTCAGTGGGGAAAGTTTTCATTATTGCAGCACGTAAATAAACTTGCCTGCAAAGTGGGGTCCTTCACAGTTTGTGTCCCTTCTACAAGCCAGTCCAACCCTTTCCCTCCTCCAGTTCATGCCAGCCAATATCGAAAACTACCCAAAATACCTGCTATCTATTAACCTTTCTTATCAGAAGGCCTTTTTAATATTCTTAAATAGAGGGGCAGAATTTTTTACCAAACATGAATTAACCATGCCCTCTGGCTCAGGGCTGCACTACATCCTGCTGTATCCACTGGTACACCAGGAGCTGACACTCCTTTTTAAAAAGCACATTGGCTTTCCTAGTAAATATCTGAATATCCTGAACCGGTTGCCCTTTACAAATTCTGAGCCAACATCAAGTACTAATTAACTACAGATTACAGGGTCTTCCCCCTAAGGAGAATACATGTTAAAGTAGTTATTCTATGCAATATATATCATTTTATTACACTCAAAAATTATGAAGCATCAGTATTACAGCTGCCCTTACAATCTTTACTAATCCCTTTGGGGATAAACATACAATTCAAGACCATCAGAAGTCACCTATTTTTCTACAGGTACTTCACTAAATGCCATTTAATACGTTTTATCTTCCCCATTTAATTTGTTGCCTGGGGTCACTGTCTGAAACACTGAACTTATAAATCTCCCCACAGCGGCCTTAATGTGGAATATGCAAGGAAAAGCAGCAGTGAAGACACAAGATATTGATTTCAGGAGCCCCAGTCAATCTCAGAGCAAACTCGGCAGGTTCCAGAGCCCACACTCAGTGACATTTCTGACATGGCATTGCCACCACAATATTCACATTAACTCAAAAAAATCTACCACTAGCAATACATGAGCTACAAACAAAGACAGTGGGGGTAAAATATTTTCAGCAGAGTGTACTCCACTCCTTTGGATGGGTGTGGAGGGCTGGATCCTTTAGAAAAGGTTCAGAGTAAAGAGAGATACCCTGTCAGTGATGTCTCCCTGAAATCTGCTGATGAACAACATGGGCTGCCAACTTACTGTGCCTCCATCACAAACAGGAACATACAGAATGTTGTCAGTGAGAAAACAAGCAAAAATTAAAAATATAAGCAGAGTTCTTTAAATGCTTGTGTTCAGGTGATACTTCTGAAGTTCCAATTTTATGGGCCAAAGTGAACAGGAGTAACCAGATCTGATTCTTGCTATATTAAAAACAAAAAAAACCACCCCAAACTCTGCAGAATTACATTTACTTTTCAAACCCTCATATACAAAAAAAAAAAGATACAATGACCTAAACCTCTCCACAAGTTTCAATAATTGTTTCTTTGATTCCCTTCTAGATAAAAAGCACTGTAGCTTCTTTGAAAGAAAGAAAGAAAGAAAGAATACTCACCCTCTATTACTGACAATTGCCTTTTTCAAGTGAATATAGTTGGCAGGAAAAATCCCCTGCAAGACAAAAAATTCTCTAAGTTAGAAAAATACATTTGCAGTTTTTAGCAGTGATAACCTAAGCCACAATAAATAATTGCCAATGCACCAATCATAACAACCCAAACAACTCTAACAATGTGTCAACGCTGCCAGTCAGTCAGAAGTCAATATTCAGATTAGTCACAATTGATCATTTCAGTCCCTCTCAGAGCAGGACAGCACAGTGGATCAAACCTCCATGTAGGAAGATCTAGTTTTTAATGCAGAACTTCTGCAGGTCTGTTCAATAAAAATACCTTACAGAAATTCAAGCTTGGTGCTGTGCATTTCCAAAAGCTCCTGAAGTGCTGGGAAGCACTGTTACAGGGGAAACATGCTCTGAGGTTTTTAAAAAAAACAAAAAACAAACATGACACAGACTGACAAAAGTGTCAGCAGTCAAGTGGGGGCTTTCAATTTTTAGAGCTTTAGAACCGCACAATTAAGGAAGAAAACATCTCATGGGGAGGTTGAAAGGAATCCTAAGTAAAGATGATTCCAAATGCTAGGAAACAAATTCCTTCATTTTCATAGGCAAGACTCTAAAACTGCAGAAGGAAAAAGGATGGGTCTAAAAGGAATGGCTTCTGCAGGAAAAAGTAAGTGTGAATGCTCTGAGCCACACCAAAACCTGGAAAAGGGAGAAATGCGACTTCAGCTTCTTGCTTGGTTCACCTGCAGTTAATGCTGCTTCTTCCTGTGATCCTGGGGTTACCTAAGAAACCAGGGGAGGTTGGAAGGGGCTCTCCTGTCAAATCTGAACATATACACAAGCAGAAGATGTTCCAAAACACACACACTGACTGTAGGCTTTTCATTAAGGGAGTATTATAGTCAGGAGAATATAATACAGGCAATATTATCCTCCATAATACAGGCAAACATGAGAAATCTGGTGCTCTTCTCTCTTTAAATACAAGCAATATTTAAACCAAAAGACAATGAAATGATGCTTGTATAGAGGCAGCTATTTGCCTGGATACATACATTTATAAAAACATAGATGCAGTCACAAAAAAAAAAAATCATATCAGAACAGTCAAAAAAGTTCTCCAAGAGCAAAACAAGGATATGATTGGAAAAACTGGAAAATAACCAAATACAATGATGTTAAAATGTTAAAATCTGAAAAAAGAATAAACTTTACAATGTATCCTTTGCCACCGGACTTTTTTCAAAGTTGTCTTAGATTAATAATGCAAATTATTAAATATGTTCTTTAAAAATCCTGGATTAAAGCAATTCAAGATCACCCACCTATGCTTTTCTTAGGAGAGTAGGGTGGAAAGGATCAAACCAGGTGAGATTCATAAATGTTCAAAAAATTCCACATTACGTGTCAGGAAGGTTTCTGCTCCTCTGGGTGACTAATGAGTATCACTGTCTCAATTTAGAAAATGAATCCAGTCCTCCCACAGGAAAAAAGTTAAGAGCAGTAAAATCTTAAGGGTAAGGAAAATGAAAAGTTTACTGGGTTGCAAGAGCAAAACAGATTTAATCTCCCACTAGGTGAAGAAAAGTATCCACACTTACCTTTACGTTGGGCTTCTTGATGGAAACACCTCGGTACCAGCCTGAAACAGAGAAAACAACCCTGTTCATTTGTGGATCAAACTGACTCAAACTATGCAATTATCGAGACCACCTCAAAACCCACATAGGTCAAATTTGTAAAAAGGTTTTTTTGTTCACTTGGTGTTTTTTTAATTGTTATTATTCTGCTCTCTAAGACTGACAAGCAATTAAGAACGTGCCAATGCTCCTGTTTATTCCCAGCAGGAATAAAAGCAGCTTAGGGCACTGTGATCCTGTTCTAACAATCATGAGCCACCTTGGCAAGGATTCATTCAGCAAGAACCTGTAACGCTCCTCTCACACTCTGGGAAACTCTTTGTGGTGTTTATCTGAAAATCTCCAGTCTTGGGGAACCTGTCCTTTTAAAGCCAGGCAAAGCTGTTATCAACATTTCTAATGTGGTTTAAACGAATGGCAATCCTGGGCACGTGTCTGCTCCTCTCTGTGCCTGTGAGACACAGGACAGGCTCCAGGGCCGAATTCACAAACCCAGTTATTGTTCTCCTACGCCCCTTCGATGAACAGCTCCAGACAGGACAAAAACGAGGAGTAAAACACAAAGCTGCAGAAGCTGCAGGTTAAACAGGAGAGCCCAGTTCCTCCTGTTCCACACAGGTGACAGTGACGTCACTCCGTGCAAAATTTCACAGAAGATAAATCCAATTTCCATTAAAATTCCTCTCATTTTCCCAGCAACTTCCTACTTTCTTCCCCCCCACCCCCCTCCAGACATAAGACAGGTATAATTTAGATATAATTAAAAGAGCCCTAGCAAAACCTGTCAGTGATTTGCTAAGGAGAACAGAGAAAACCAGAACTAAGTAACTGGGTGTTTTGTGTCTCTCAGAAAAAGTACCTCATATTTGCTGAGTTATAATACGAGTCTCATTTAGAGGCAGAGAGTAGGGCAGAGAGTCTTGATTTTGTTTTAAAGACAACCTGATAGTCCTAATTTTTTTTTCCTAAGAAAATTACTTCATATAAAATAAAATAATTAATGAATTCAAGACATTTGCAAATCTTGCTATGGAAAAAATTAAAATCCTTCTTCTTTATTAGCCAAATATCTCATGAGGACAGGACAGAACACTAAGACTTCTTTTCCTATGAAATCACTGGTTATATTAAAAAAATATTTTTTTTTTTGTTTTCAATTTAATTCAGGTGAACAAACTTCATGGGATTCCTATCAGTATAAACACACAGGCACAAACAACACACAGATCTTTACCATGAGTGATTTCTAAAACTCCACACAACTGTGCCTGCAACACCTGCTTTTGAGCAACAGGTGCTGCAGATTTTTAGGGTCACAGAAAAAAAACAAATGCATTTATCCTGGGATTCATTGTTACCAATATTGAATACAGTCTGTACCTTAGAAATAATCACATATTTGAGCTTCAAGACAAATAGAATGCCAAATTTTTTGTAATTAGGGGAAAAAGTGGTTTTATCTAAGTTTGTGAACAGACCTGTAAAACACAGAACAAAACCCACTGAAGGAGGTGGCCATGAATAATTTAGATGTGCAGGGCAGAGAAAGAAACACATTTCCAAAAAACTCCCTTATTTCTGAGTTTTCTGTTCTTCATTCCAAAACAAAATTTCAAAGCCCCAAAGGTTTGTGTTTACAGAGCTGTGAAAAACAGGCAGGGAAGGACTCTGAGAAATCCCCCAGCTCATCCCAGCCGCTCTCTGAGCTGCTCCTCACAGAGCTTTAGTCTGGCTTTAACAGCGTCCAATCATTTATTAACAGGACTGAGTAACACAGCACTCCCTGACTGTGGAAAATGATCCATAAATCTTCTGCAAAGCCTACATTCCAAGGTATTTCTGCACAGAATTCCAAGGAAACAGAGTAAACTTCTGCTGCTCCACACAGACCAGTGTGAAAGAGGTGGTGCTGCACAGGCACCTTTTTATTCCACGGATCAACACTGGCCAATAAAACTGCATCTTACAGTGACATTTTGGTATAATAATTGGAAATCTAGAATATTTATGTTCAGTGGAGATGACCTGCAAAATGTACCCTTTGGCAGGTACATTTATACATTCGAAATGTGATATATTTCCCTTAAATCTTGTACATTGTGCTCTCCAGATCTTATGTAAAATGTATTTGCTTGCAATGAACACCCCCAAAAACTCATTCTGTACCTCAAAGTAAAAGCTATGAGAAAAGGTACAAAGCTGTTTTTGTTAAAAGCACATTTAGAAAATTGCATCTGCATTATGTTATTCCCTAAAATGAACTAATTCTGCATTCTGGAATTAAATACAGTAATAGCCTTAAATACATTAATATTGATCTAGTCATATATTTTAAAGGCATTTGTTTTGGAGGATTCAATCACAACAGTCATCAAATGCAGGCAGGTGCTTCAGCTAATTGTGATCACAACATGCACTCCGTGGTTAGAACCCCAATAATGACTAACAGGTTTAGATGTTACTGTACTGCCAATAACTACTGGCTAATAGTTTGGAATTATGGCTTGCATTTCCTAGTGATACCTGGCATTTAAAGGGCATTGACTTCACAAAAGTGGTGAAAGAGATGGGATTTAAAAACCAAGAAGCAGAAAACCACAGCTATGAGGTGAATTTTGTGAATTAGTTAATTAATTAATGTGAAGCAATGACCATGAAGTCCCCACCAACAATGAAGTTGGGAGGGGACATGGCTTGGACAGCTGACCTGAGTCAGCCAAAGGGCTATTCCATACCATATACATCATTCAGCTATAAGAAAAGCAGAAATCAGTTAATTAGTAGTGCCACTTTAAGCAATGCCCTAGTCAGAATAAGAACACTACATATATCTCACATGAGTCTGATGAACTTCAAGTATTATATCATAGTCAAAATAAAATAGATAAAATGACAAAGACATCCCAGAATAGTCAAAAATACCTTCCAGGATACAGATGACCCTGCAAGCAAACTGTTCCACCTCACAAGGTGATGTTTAGACTCCAAACACAGACCCAGGAAAACCCACAAGCCCTTGCAGCTGCCTTTTTCAGTACCATCTGATGGTATCTGATACAAGCTGAGGGAAATGAAGACTTGGCTGGTGTACAGCTCTGCCCTCTGTACACCCTACACAGCAAATGATCTCTCAAAGATCTGCAAGGAGAATTAATTCCCTGGCAATAAACTGGAGAAAAACCAAAAGGCAAAGCACCCTGTTACTCCTGTTTGCCCTGCACGTTAAGACCACCACCTGGTTTCATTCCAAACACACTCTCTATGCACATATCCCCACTGTGGGGAACCTGCAGGTCAGGAATCAAAGCTCAATTACTTCAGAGTGTGTGCAACCACAATTCCCTGTCCTTCCCTTGGTTTCCAGGGCTTTGGGAGCTGTCAGAAACGTTGGGCTTCCTGCTCAGCTCTTACAAGCCCTGGAATTCAACAAGGACTCTGAGGAGGCAGGACAGAAAAATGGACTGGGACTGCATCACACATCAAAAACATGCTCAGGTGAAGACCACTTCTTTCACCCACAATTACCTGTGCCTGTGGAAACCCACAGTGGGGGAAGGCATATTAGAGAAACCTGCAAACTCTTGGATAAGGACCGAAAAACAGTGTTTGCCAAGGCGTGTCATGCTCAGAAGTCACTCAGCAGTGCAGCAGTTAAACTGCAAAAGCAGCTCTGGGCCAGCTCTGCCCATCTCAGTCTACATGTGCGTGACTACAAGAGCTACCAATGGTTTTTTGATCTTTTCTTGAAAGTGCCTTGAACAAAACAGGATATTCTAAAAGCCACCTCTCAACCTCTTTCAGATGTCCACTTAATCCACAAGAGGTCTGTCACATGGAAAAATCTCGCCCCTTTGGAGGACTCAGTAGCAGAAAAGCAGAAGGGTCCTAATTGAAAGGTATTGATCTATTTTCCAGAAAAACAAGGCTCAAGTATCAGGGTTAAATAAAGAAGCACCAGCTGCAGAAAAAAACCAATTCCTCATATAAGAGAAAACAAATTCCACGTATAATTTCTTGACAAACAAAATTCTGAAAATAAATTACATAAGTATTTATGGTAAACCCTAAAGTTAGAATATGTTCTTAGAAGAAAGCACTGCTACAGCGAAATCTGCTACAAGAACTCAAGCCTTTTTTATTCTACAAAAGTAAGTATACTCTGCAGTAACGTGAGTGACCCTCAAACCCAGAGCAAAGCTGCCTTTTGCATGTATGAGCCAACAAACAATTGGGTTTACCTTGTAATCTGCAACTTAACTGCTGTGCAGAGCAAAGGGACCCAGGAGAGGGACGGGAACAGTGCTCAGCAAAAGCTTCTTGACGCTGCAGCCCCCCAGGGCCAAGGCCCCTCTGTTGGAGCGCTCGGCTCGGCGGGGCCAGGACAGGCCAAGCGCAGATGAACAGCCCAGCCCAGCCCAGCCCAGCCTGCCAGCACCGCGTCAGGGAGCGGCCCCATGCCAGCACAGCCACAGGAACATGCTGATAAAGCTGCCACTGATGCCACAACCAAAGCAGAGGAGGGAGGATGTGCTTTATCTTGGTCACAGCCAAACCGAGGGGCATCGAGAAGCCGCTCCCGTGGCTCCAAAAGGCTTTCAGGAGCTGGGTGGGATCTTCCGCAGCAGCCGAAGGTGTCCAAGAGACTGCAGCTCCATGGGCACACTCCACACAGAGCACAGAGCAAAAACGATGAAAAGGCAAAAAGGAAAAGGGGTATTTCACTGCAGACATCTTTCTCAGTCTCAGGAAGGGGTTAATTTGGCCCAGCCAGCCACAGGGCAGCTCCCGGCTCCTGGTGGAAGGGAACCTGCATTGTTCCCACAGCAATGACAGGCTGAAGGGTGATTCCTCACTCATCTGATGGCAAAGACACCCCTTCTCAACTGAATTCATCAAGAATTTAAGACAAAAGCCCTAACTGCAAGCTGTATCTGCTGTTTAAGTGTCCCAAATACCAGAAACACCTAATTTGACCTTGTTGTCACTGCTGGAATAACAGAGGAAAGCTTTAAATACATTACATGCATGGTTTAAGACCACAGTTATTAACATACACACATGAAAACCATGTAAATAAATACTTGTGTGGATAGCAGAATTTGCATGGATAACATTCTTCTAACTGGTACTTCAGGTGTTTCCATTCTTCAGTGAATATACAAGATTGTCAAGGTAATAATTAAAGTTACTGAAGTTGTAGCATTTTTAATCTAAAGAAAATGACCTCCTAGCAATAAAAACAAATGGACAAAACAGACATTTTAAATTTGCTCTCAATGTCACTACAGTGGCAACAGCCACATGACTTGAAAGAGAGGGTGTTCCTTTGAATGCACAGTCCACACGAGCATTTCAAACAGAAAATATGCTCATGCTTTGCCACTCGACACAAGAAAACTCCACCTTTCAGCATTTACAGGTGCCACACTAATGCCACGCCCTTTCAGCCCCTCAAGGCACGGAAGGTAAAGAGAGAACTCCACCTGAGTGTTCCAGTTCTCTCTCAGGGCTCAGAGAAGGAAAGCTGGGCACGACAGTGATGTAGGGATTTGTGATCTGGTCTGGGAGCAGGCAGAGTGACAGGCACAGAGACTGATGGAAATCCAGAAGTTCCAATGTCAAGCACATGAACAAGATACATAACCAACAAAGGCAACTGCATTTCACTGCATTACATTTAAATACTGCACGGTATTTAAATGTTATCAATTACTATTTATATTTATTAGCCTTACAGAGACAAATATATGTATATAAATGTACATGTGTGTGTGTGCATGCACATATATTTGTTCCTTTACTCCACAAATATGTCTAAAATTTTGCTGCAGTGATACCCAAAAACCTGAAGTGCAGAATTCCCTCCTCTTTCATTCAACTGCTCTAAAAATCAACGACTGCTTCTTACACCAGTCACTACAAAAGAGCACTTGCTCTTTTGTAACACTAACACAGTTATTCAGTAAGTTATTATGATTAAAAATAAGCACATTCAGAGGTAAAGCTACTGTTTGAATCTCTGTCAGCCTTGAATTCCTCAGCGAGTCTCCAAAATCGCACTTCACGTCACTGGAAGGTTTGTGTGTACGTGAATCCCTTCAACCCTGACAGTGAAATCCCTGCTGCAGAGAACTACGCACAAACTGTTCTAACAAAAAGTGAAGCTGAAACAGCAGTGCATCTTCTGTGCCTCTCACAGCAGTGACCCTTATTTTGTGTGGGTTAACATCATTTCATCCAGCCTGTCTACGCAAAAGGATCACCAGCAAATCCTGCAGAAGGAGAGGACCCTGTTAAACAACCACTTAGACAAGAATGCTTAAAAAGCAACTGCTTTTTTTTCCTTCTAAGAACCTACTTTACACATTTAGTGTGCTTTTTTGCATATTTCACACATGCAAGAGCTGCAGCACAGACCATCTGAATATTCAGATGAGTTTCACAGTGTGGAGTTCCAGATGTTATTATCACAATTAATATATCTTTTTATACACATACAGTCCATGGTAAAGGAACCTCAACCAAACCAACAGGATGGAGGGCTTAAAACACAAACCCAAAACATTCTGTACAAACACCTTCTCCCCTCCAGGCAAACACTGTCTGAGGGCCTCCCTTCTCAGCAATGTGCAGACTGGCATGGACTGCTTTTGAGGAATCATCCCGACAACCACCAGCCAAGGAAATATTCAGAGCCTAATTATTGTAACACTCTAAAGAGATGTTGGATTATCCCTTTGCTTCTCTACAAGCAATCTGCTGCTTGGAGATTGTGCTTTTATCTCCCAGGGTTTTAAAAGTTTCCTTGATTCCCAGAAATGGCTGGGAAATACCACGACTGCTTTCAACAACAAGCACTGTTTTACCTGACAGCTACACTATCCTATGCAAAGCAATCACTTTTGCCTGAGCTTGCACCATGTATTAATTCACAAGGCCTGGCAGAACAACTAAAATCAGCACTCAGTGCTTGAGTACAGCTTGACCCATCACACCACAAGTGGGTTTTTAAAAAACACGACCATTTGCAGGTATGACAGTACAGGTATTGCTTACAGCATGTTTCTTCATGGTTAAGAGTCCCTGCTGCACTCCAAAACTCTCATTCAACAGAGAATCTTTACAAATCTAGGTGAAAAAGCTACTACTTTACTAGAATAAGCAAACGAAAATTAGAAAAAAACTAGAAAAACAAAAAACTAGAATTAGCAAACAAAAATCCGTAACTTTGTTGAATGTTAATTTGGAATTCAGCTTTGTGGATCTGGGGTTTAAATTTGTTTTAACACTTCAGGGTTGAGGTCACTATTCCACCTCAGACTGCAGTGAAACACATTCTCACACTGTATCTTGTCAACCTAATTCTCCACAAACATTTTTTACATGACTTGCTTGAGTATGAGGAGAAGAATAATTCTCCTTTTACACACAACCTCAGTCACACTCCTCATGTGAATAAAGCAGAGGATTAGGACATTCCCTTTATTCACAGGCAGACATCTCCAGCCACACAGGAACTATAAAATTTACAGTGGTATTTTTCTTTAGGTACAAAAACACATGATGATAAATGCAAAGTAATCTCCCCTAAACTCATATTCTTTACATGTTTTCCATTATTAATAACCTATTTCATAAGTAATATTATTCATCTATTCAGATGTTTCTAAATAATAAACACCGATACACTGACTAGAAATGCATAACAGTAACACTGAGTAAAAAAAGATACTGATTCTGTACTTTACAAGATGAAAATTCAGTGTAAGACCCAATTACAATACAACAATCAGGTCAGGGTTCAAGATTTTCTGGACAGATGGTTAACTTAAAACACACTGACCCCCTATCAGACTGGATTAGTGCCAACAGCACTCAGCCTTTCCTACGGAAAATGGGTCAGATTAGGTTTTGTTCAAGTGCTCTGATTTGATGCATCATGATTTCCAAACAACTTATTAAAATCTGCTAGATTAAGATATTTGTATGTTCCTCTACAGAGAAGGGGCTCCTTGCCCGGTGTCCCACTTACCTTCACATTTCTCCAGGATCTGGACAGTCTCACCTAGCTCCAGGACCAAGCCCTGCGGAACCGTTCCTCGGAAGCTGCATATCACTGGAGGGTGGGGAAAGAGAGAGAGAGAGACATATGAGGCTTGAATCTTTGTGTGAATTTTCTTCTAAGCATAGCCCTTTAGCTCACTCCCTGCACAAAAATAGCTCTGACATCGCTGCCCAGAAAACCTGTCAGCCAACTTTTCCTCACCGGGTATCTTTGTTTCGGCCCTTCTCCGAAATTAAGCTCAGCAACATCATAAAAGATGAGCTTTCTAAAAAGATTTTTAAAGTAAGCAGAGCTTGTAATCACTTTAATCAGCAACCTCTGATTTATATTCCATACAAAGATTTCCTTGGTTCACTATTCTCACTCTACTCCACAAGCCACCAATGGAACAGACAGCCCGAACTGCAGAGATTACAACAGGAACTCAGCTCCAGGAATTACTTCTGTCCAAGTTGAAACTATTTCAAATACCATCTGTGCAACTAATGCCCTGCAAAAATCCTATCACACCATGCATTGTATTTAAGTAAATATAAGAAAGAATATGTAAGGATTTGTACTTTTCATAAGCACTAACATGATATACATCTTACTTTTCCAGGTAAGAATTAGCCTCTCCATTAGCCAGGAGAAATAAGAACCCATCTTAATATTTAAAAATATTAATGTAATCAATAAAAACACTAAATGGAACTCGATTTTAAAAAATAAATTTAAAAAATATCATAGTGTGTAATGAATATATTCTTTAGCTATATTTATCAAAATACAACAGGGACATGGCCATGGGCAGTTGCCTCAAACTTGAGTACCAAAACAAAGGATGAATTGCAGATAAGGTCCCACCCTCCCCCCAGAACCAGCATTTAGAACTCCCCCAGGCACAGACTGAATGTAACCATTCAAGTACCTCGTTCCAGGTAAATACACACTCAGCCAGAGCCCACCCTGTTGTCACCTGCACTCACTGGAGCACTACAAGTGGAATTCCATGAGCTGAAATAGTGACCTCCAGTGGGCATCATCCTTTTGCCAATCTAAGAGAACGCTCCCCTTGGAATGCCAGCACTCCAGCTACTGCCAAGGTGTTCCCATGGGATGGAGCTGCACGTCATCTCCTCCATAAATACATTTTCATGTCAAAGCCCTGAGTCCCTCGTGGGCCACAGCCCCTCTGTGCAGACCCTAAAGATGTGAACCCAACAGTCTGAAGTGCAGGGGAAGGACACCATGGAAAACAGCACTGTCACCTGCACCACCCATCACACCTGGAACCTTGCATCTCCAAGAAACAGTGAGAAAAGCACAGACAAAATTTCCACCAAAACAAAGCAAGGTTTCAACCACACACACCTGAAAGGAAAAGGCAAGAAAGAACAAACTACACAGACCAGGCAAACGTTCACACATGGCCGGTGAGAAAGGGACCGAATCAAAATCCAAAGGGAACCAAACGGCATCCAGTGTTTGCACTTCCACTCTGAGACTCAATGCAGGGTTTAAATCCAAGAGTCAAAAGCTAGGAATTTCATCAACAAACCCAAACTGCTCTCTCAGCCCTCATGGCCCAGCAGAAGTCACCGCCAGTTAAATGAGCTTTAAATTCTTGTTTACATCAGAGGCAGGAGAAACACAACAACTGGCTCCAGACTGGAATAATGCAGACAGCATAATCTGACAGAAACACTGAGCTTGTCAGCATTCTGGAGTCATTCTTCACCCATGAAGAAATCATAAATATGGATTTCAACCAAAGAAAAACTATTTAAAGCTTCTCCCCAAGTGCAGGAACACTGACAACTGCAAAACGATGAACTGGCAAGACACAACCAAACCTCCAATGGCTCCTCCCTGTCCCTCCAGTGTTTCAGATGGCTGGATCCTTCAAATACAGAAAGTGTTTTCCTTTTTTTTCTAATAGGGAATTTTGCCAGGACAAGAAGGTAATAAAAAAATCTTTTATTTTTGAGGTGTTCTGCAAAATACTGTCTTACATTAAAATAATACTACTTTTCCATTCAGAACAACAAAATCCCATCAGCCCTCAATACAACTCCATGATCACAATCAGAAAACCAGTTCTCACACAAAAATAACCCCCCCCAACGTTCCTCATTCTCAGTACAACACTATGGAATCTACTCCCTTTGGTAACCATCAGTGAGGAACGTAGGGCTCTGCTGTTTGACAATTTTTATCATCAACCAACAGGATCTGTGAATACAAATACAGGTATTTTCAAAATAACAGAAGTCAAATCTCAAGAGTAGCTGACTTTCCAGCCACACTAAATGAAGCTCTGGAAAAATTAAAGAATCCAACTAAATTGACCCAATACACCAAATCGTATCTTGCTGAACTGTATAACAAGAGCAAAATTTAATATCTCTGAAGTAAAAAAGAATGGTAAAAATGAGTCTTTATTATGACAAAAATCACAGAAATTGGAGGTTATTTTATAGTCTGGTGTATGATTCCAAATGTTACTCCCAAAGAGTTACAGATGTTACTCATCTGTTAAGCTAAAAATGCATGATTCAACACAACGTTATTTATAAAGTCCCTTTCAGGGACACAATTCTTCCTATCAGTATGAAAAATATGATCACAAGTGCATATGAGAAATACAAAGTAGTTTAACCATTCTGGAGAAAACAACTTTTATTTAACTTGTAACTGCTCACTTCTGTCCTTTCTGCAGAGAAATTCTTTACACTACAAGATCATCTGCAAACTGCCCCTCAATCAGTAAGTCACCATTTCCTACAAGAGTCATCAGAACACACAACTAACATGATGGACACAGGCAAAAAGCAGTTTCCACCCACCAGGGAGCAGATCTGACCAATCCCTCCTGGGCTCCAGGACAGACTGCTGAAACATTTAACATCTATTTTCAGAAATCAAAGCCCTTCCCATCATTCAGGTCTATAAGGAGGTCAGAGTTCCCCTCATGAAATGGAACTTCTGCCAGCAGTTAAAGCCAACACTGCCAAAGAGGAATGCTTTGAAAAAGCACCACATGCCACATGATCCAGGAATTATCTCCAAGTCAGAAGTCCCTGAACTGTGGTACTGAAAGTGGACCACAGTGACAGAAATCCTTCCCTCTTCACCTTTGTGTTTTATTAATAGGAAAGGCACAAACTCATTCACACAGGCAGTTACTCTCAAGCTTTTCTGGACCAGAAAATATGAAGGGATTGGGGGATATAACATATAAGAACAGATGGCATTGTAATAACAGTCGGGAAAGACAAAGATCCAGGGGAGGACAGATTTAGAAGGGTTTTCCTTGCCTGTGGATGTGCCCTGACACAGGGTAAGCAGCTGCACTGGAAGTCACCAGCAGTAAGAGAAACTGCTGCAAAGATGAACTGGACACGTTCAGCCAATGCACCTTTGCCCAGCTGATACAATTCAGGAGGTTTTACAAAATATATTCTCAAACAGCCCTTGCAAAAGGTCTTGGAGAAACTGCATCTGCCTGTGATGAAGTGGGACGGCATCTGCACATAAACAGCCAGCAAAGAGAGGTGAAACAGAAATTGCCACTTTCCTTACTGAGCACAGACTGACCAGCAGGCTCTAAAGGCACCTCTGTTGGAGCCTTTTCTGTTTAAAGTATTCCTAATCATCCAAAAAAGCCGATCATTCAGAGAAATGATGAAGTTTATGAAGCCACTTCAGTTACTCAGGGTAATAAAGGGCTGCAGATGGACCCGAGTACCACAAGTAAACTGGCAGATGTAGAGGATCCAGTTCATCTGTGTGCTGTTCCAGGAGGGATGAACAATCCTCACCTCACAGAATGACCATCTCCTCCTTCCTACTGCCACACTGAGGGAAACCCTGGATTGTTGGTCAGAGTTCTCCCAATCTCAGTGCTCAGCCACTGCCAAGCACCACCCCACAACACAGAATATTGCCTGAGGGAAAAGGGGAGACACCATCACCCACAGCACTGGGTACAATTCACAATGAACTCCAACGTGCCAGTTTTCCTCTCTCCCCTTTGTCAAAACTTAACACTTCACCAAAAATGACTGAACAGCACAAGAAAAGGTAGCAAGAAGAGAGACGAGAGATAGCAAGGACTGCAGAAGGGCTTTTATAGGATTGATTGCTAACCAAGATGGGACTCCTGTACCAGGAAGGCTGAAAGGGGTGGAGAGAGGATAATGGACAAATTGCAGAGAAGGTGCACAGGGAACTGTTGCTCATCACTCCTTCCAGATCAAAAAGTAGAGCAGTGTCAAATGAAACAGCAGAGAGAGTTCAGGACTTGAACTAAACTGTTCCACCCAGTGTATACCATGAGGCTGCTCACAAGATGCTGTGGGTGATAAAAAAATTAAATATATCACTCAAGTTCAAAAGCCAACAGGACAAATTAATGGATGTGTCCCACCTTCAGCTCTGCAAGGCCCTGTCCCAACAGGCACTTGAGCCTTGGGAAAGCAGCAGGCTGGACTGTCAGCACCTGGCCAGGGGCAGGACACGGGCTGAGTCACAGACTCAGTGCTGTGAACTCTCTCATACAGGAGCCTGAACTTCTTTGTCCCATCCTATCTATTGATTTGTGACCTCATCTGAACACTATTACAGCAAGCAGGAGAATAAAATTCACAGTGAAAGAAATGCTAAATTAGATTTTAAGCATGTCATTATTAGTTTCTGCTGCCCCCCTAAATAACAGAGCTGCTTTCATTTCTGCTGTGGTATAATTCAAAGTGGATCTTACTCTCACAGTGCCTTCTAATTCAACTTCCTCTGGCCCAGCTGCCCCACCCAGTCCCACCTGGGTCCCAGCTGCTTCCACACATCACTCCTCTGCTCAGATGGATGGTGGTTATCTGATAACCACAGTAACAGAAACCTGTCCCACTTTTAAGTGAAGTGGGAAAACCCGAGATGACAACAGGAAAATGCCAGAGTGCTGTCCAGCACAATCCAACCACGTGCAGCATCCAGCTGCTAATTCCCCTGAAACATCCCCTTCCCTCAGCATATAAATAAAAAGGCTTTGCAGCACAGTGAGTTGACAGGGG